TATAAACTAAACGAGTGAAACCTGATCACCTCTCCTGGCACAGTGTTCAAACCAGAACCATAATGTGTGTCCTATCATCAGAAAGATACCAGGAAACTACGGCGTTTGTTTAAAGCCGCAGGCCTCATCTGCATCTTTTGAGTGTTTGTCGGCAGCTGCTCTGATGCTGCAGGCTTCGTGCTTTCACGTTAGCGACAGCACAACCTGAAGACACGCGCACTGGGCCGTCCAAAGCAGCGGGCAGTGATCAGTGGCAGCCCGTGAGACACGTGTAGCCTGTGCACTTGTGGCCAAGACGTCACTTGACCAAGTCAACATTGCATGAACACACGCAGGAGACTCCCTGCGAAGAGCCTGCCTTCCATACGCCATTCCGACAGGGATGACCTGGAGGATCCGGCTGGCTCCCCATTTCAGATGCTGCTTTATTACTAACTTTCATCTCTTCCATCTTATGCTCTCTCTTCGATATTAACTTTGCTGCAATATGGAAAGAGCAAGAAAGGCCTTCATGAAATACTTCTTGACTCTTAGTACCCCTTCATAGTACGGCTATGAATTTTTTTCAGAAGAACTTTGTCCATGTGAAGAACTTGAGACCTCTCTATGGAATTACAGTAACTTTCTGAAGTCATGTAACTGACCTAAGAGCCTTACCTCCTACCCTGCATGCTCTTTGACATTTTATGTCAGATTTGTATTTCAGGTTCTCTTGGGCAAGTGAATTGTCTGGTAAATATTCTCTTAGGCACACATTACTCCTAAAAATACACTAATGTTCAGACGGATGTTTCTATCAAAATTTTAAATCACAGTGGTTTTCCTAAGCACTGAAGCCTGGTTTTTGTTATTAAAATGTGTTTGGTTACTGTACATGCTAATCAGTTCCCACACTGGACTAGGCAGCTGAGCCACTCCCTACCTGAAAGCCCATAACTTTAACTTTAATAACTAAGCAACGGAGTGTTTATGTCCTGCCTTATGCATCTTATCAAGCATCAGTGCTTTGGCGGTCATTTTTTCCTGGGATGTTGCTATACCGCTGAGTAACATTACAAAAAAATCAGAAAGACTGAACTCTTTGCCTCTTAGCTGAATTCTTCATGGTATAATTTATTCACAGTATAATTAATTTACTTGGCTTAAACTTACTGTGGCTTTTATCTGGGAATCATATGTGAATGTTCAGTAGTTTTACGGCGAGGAGGGTACCACACAGCATAACACATGTGCCTGAATCAGGACCTTGGTACTGTCCCCAGAGAAGCCGATGCCTCCAGAGGGTGGTTGAAGGTGCCGGAGCTTGGAGCTGGACTGCAGGCAGCGCAGAGCCTTCCTCCCAGTTCTGCCGCTCGGTGCCTGGCAAAAGCCACGGCCAGCCGAACAAGGTTCAGTTCACATCAGTAATCCAAAAGCCAAAATCACTGTAGGAATATTGTGATTCTCAGTAGTACTGAGAAAGCAAAAATTTAACTTTAAATCTAAACTTTATTACGGCATTAAAGGCATCTGAACAATTGTAACTGTCCTACAGAGACGGAAAAGAAAAAAGCCCCAACAGACCATTTTTTATTAATTGGAACTGTGTGGTTACAGTCTCGTCACTGAAATGTCAAAGCTGTTTAAGCGTCTTTATGACACCCACAGCTATATCCCCATTGTATCTAGTATGTAAATGTTAGTCACTGCCAGTCTCTACTGTATTTCATTATGTGGTGGTATTTATGTATCAAAAGACAACTGTAAGGTGCAGAAAATCAGATTACAGAATGTCAGAGACCCTTACTACGGAGTTGACTCCATTAAACCTGTGAAACTCCTACCCTCTGGAGTCTGCCTAGGAGCTGTGTTCCCTGCCGGAGATCTGAAGGGTGCCTAGATCAGAGAGGGCAGTAGCTGAAGAATTTCAGCTTCTCACAGCTTAGCTAATTGGGAACGCTGGTGTTGCAGGCAGAGGTTCGTTCCTGGTCCGTGCCCCCACTTCCAGCTGCCTTCCCAGCTGCACTGCCCTGCTTACAGCAGACTGACTCACCCACCCAAATGAAAAATAAACTTTGTTCTTCATTTTTTCTTTTCTGGCAATGTCCGTTTTCAGCTGGACCAGGGAGCAAAACTGGCGTACTCCAAGGCTGAGCAATTCTGAGTCCTCATGCAAGGAAAGCCACAGCAAACACAAGCGGAAACAGGTCTCCCCTTGGCCCCTCCTTTTTTGGAGGTACAGTCGGAGATTAGGTCAAGTTTGTCTTTAAACCCCACTCTGAGGTATCTGCCTGTGTATTGTTGCAGTGAGCAAATTCAGTGCTGCACATATTTCTCTGCTCTTCCTTTTCGGTAGAAACTAGCCTTTTCTTTCCAGAGGGGGTGCTTTCGGTTTTACCATTCTGTTCCCAGTCAGAAACAATTTGCCTACTCATTAATGAAAGCAGACTCAGAGTGCCTTTCCCCTTCCATACCGAACTCAGTTAAAAAGATTTATAAGCTTGCTCAGTATTTGAAGAGTAACAGTTGCTTTAATCTTCGCTGGAAAGCACGGCTGGGTGATTTGTTTGTCTCTGTCTCTCAGAGACGCAGCCGGCTAACAAGTGTTACAGAAGACATACACGTAATGTTATGAAAGACAGAAGATTCACTCTAGCAGATTTTTGTTATTAAAATGCATATTGCCTTAAAACTGTTTCGGATGGTGAGTGGTCAGGTCCCAACCTCTGCATGCTGCTGTCTGAAAACACTGCATTCTTTCAACGGGAACGATACAAACGAGCAATAGCAGCTGAAAAGCAGCATAAGGGCTCTTGAGACAGACACAAGCTGAGCAACAACCACACAGAAAGCTCTCCATGTCACCATTGTCGAGCTGCAGATCTGCTTGTTTCTTCTGCTGCGTTTCTGTCCCTAATCTGGCAGTGCTGTTTCACATGCCTCGGTGAACGTAATTGTTCCCCTCGCCATTAGCTCTGTAACTGTGTGTCTCTAAAGCAGGGAGAAGCTTATCAGTAGCTTGGGGCATCCTATCTTCATTTTGAAGACAGTGTGAAGCTCTGTTCTTGCTCGGTACTTGAAACAAGCAGGATCTGCGAGGTGAACCAGCAAAGGCGGGGAGGCACGCGGCTGCTCCCCGGACCGCATCGGGCTGGCTATCGCACGCTAACGACGGCTGCGGGACACAGCGTCCGACCCGCTCTGCTCCCCGCAGAGGCTCTGCTGCAGCCTGAACGAGAAGGGGGTGCCAGCCTCAAGGAAAGCAGAAACTGTGATGAAGTTCTGAATGGCTACGACTACAGCACAACACCGAATGTGGAACCCCAAAGGAATTTATTTAAAGGGGAAATAAATCTCAGCAGCAGCCTCAGGTTTTGTAAAGGAAGGGGGTTTTTTGCATGGTTACTTTTTGTGAGAGATACTCAGATATTAAGAGGATGGGTGACTCAGAAATACCACAGATGTTTACAGTTCTACCCTTTATAGAGTCTTTTCTATAAAAAGATGCCAGACAACTTTAGAAGCCTTGATGGATTGAGCATTTCAACATCCTGTTGGGTCAGATGATAGCAACATAATATTCACATTAAGGATCAAACAAGGCATGTTCCCACAGTCATAAATCAAAACTAGAAATGGCAAGCAGTCCCAGCTTTTTCTGTTGCAGACTTAATCTAGATAGTTGGCACCTGCTCAATGTAGGCTGAGTACCAGCACTCACCCAACCCGATTTCTGCGTCCCTCTCTGCTGCTTCTCTTTCTGTGCATAAAGCCTTATCCCACAACTCTCCATACAGAGAATATTTTCTCTCCAGCCGACAGTGTTCTTTGTACAGTGTAAGATTTCTTCCTCCATCAATGATGTCTGCGACTCGCCTGTCCTTTGTAGGAAAGAGGCTAGAGAACTAGCAGCGGTCTAACAATCCTAACCACCATTATCAGGCACAAACCTACGTTCTGGCATAAACCCATCCTACCACGACCAGGAAAATACCATCATGACGCTGGCTGACTTTGGGTCAGAATTTTTATCTGCGTGGATGGGGTCAATTAATGACAGTAACTGCTGGGAAGGCATGCACGTGCTGACAGGCGAGTGCACTTCTCCGAGTGCTGGTGTAAAGTTTTGCATTCCCATATACAATGTGTCAGTTACTTGGGAGCTGTATGTGGAATGTCTCCTACAGTACAGCAAAAACTCCCCCTTCCCTCAAGAAAACCAAGCTACCTTCCCAAAAATGAAGGCTCATGGAAAAAAAGACTTCTATCAGCTTCTTTCAGTTACACAAACATGAAAACAAACAAGAGCAGCAACCTTCACTCAAACCTGACTTTCTACTCAATGGTTTCCAAACAAAATCATCTGTGTGGCATCTGCTACCAAAACAATAAGTACCACATTACCAGATGGTATGTTGTGAATTAAATGTTGACACAAAACCCAGACATACCACTCAGTCCTCTCTTGACACCAAAACTTATTTCCCTGTTTTTTCTCACCTCATGATATTTACACACGGCAAAAAAAAATTCTTAAAATACTCCTGAATTTGGAAGAGACAAGTTAACCTGCAATACCCTATTACTCTGCCGTCTTTAAAAAAAAAAAAAAAATCATGCAGTTTTATTATAGCAAAATAAAACATGGAGCAAGTGGTTCTGAGAGCCTGGATACTGCTACACGTATGTTTGTCCCCCTCTGCCTCCACGGCTGCAATAACCAGATGCTCAGTAACTGAAATCCACTCACACAGCCTCCAGATGCGGGGAAGCGTGAGCTGGGGCTGGCCAGTCCAGAACTACGTACGTGCCGGCTGCAGCTAAATCTCTGTAAGATTATCCATCACATCTCAGTTCTGCCCGCCTGCTACCTAGGGGAGCACTGGTCTGGGTCTCTCCCTACCCCCCAGGTATTGCTTTTAACGGGTTTGAAGTTTCTACCCTTCTTTCTAACACGGCTGAAATGGCATCGAAGTCAGCAGCAGCAGCAAAGGAGGCACAAGCAGGCAGATGCCGTTGCCATGGGCTTTGTCTCCTTGGGACTCCGGGTAATTTTATTAATTTTACTGTTTACAAATAATAGAAAACAAAACACCGCCTCAAAGCTGCATTTACGTAACAAGGAGTTTCCAGACGCCTGAAATCTTGAGTCCACGTGTAAATACCAGAAATTGGATGCTTGAATGGCAGCGTATTCTTGTGCCCACACAACTGCGCTTCCAGAGGGGCATCTCTGCCTGAAACACCCCTTCCCGACCCCGGCCCTCGGGATCCGCAGGCAGGGGAATCTC